AAGGTATACAGTCCTAGCTGACATCAATGACATACTACTGTATAGAAATCCCATTTTTATGCAGAGCATTTCGGGCAAATTAGGTCAATTTTGTTCCAGGATGTGACCCTCACCAGTCGACTAACACCCAGGTACCCATTTTACTGCAGGGTGAACAGGGACAGCAGGTGCCTAAACGAAACACGTCCGAATGTATCCACCCGTACTGAGGATCGAACCGCAGACCTCAAAGTGTGTGAGATGACTGCGCTACCAGCCGAGCTACGGGACACCTTAAATTTCAAGCCGCTCAGAATTTGCAGTACCAAATTTTCCGTGTCGAGGGGTGAAGCAAACTAGATGTGACACTCAGAAATTCTCGCATGAAAACCCGTATGTAAATTTTTCTCAGTTTCCTACACGAAAAAAAATGAACCTACACAACCCAAATTCAATCAAAACTTTTCAGTAAAGTAGTATTGGCCAGCATCTGAGGTCCAAGTATGTATGTAAATCATTAAAATATAAAATTTGCGTATAAACAGTGTGTATTTGCTAGGTGTCATTCTTCCTATAGAATGTATCAGCGTTAATATTCTGAAGTCGATAAGACGAGACATTATTTATTTATTTCATGTGCAGAAATGAATATCGATATTTAATGAAGTTGGCAAATTTGGACTTGGGGAGGCTATTAACAACACGAAACTTGCTTTCTGTGGAAAACACACTAGGGCTGAAATTTGAAGCCGATCGGAAGAGGCATTCTTCAGTTATCGCACGAATTCCAACGATTCCAAGTTTTATATTTAAAAAAAATTAGCGCAATGACAAATTTGCCCACACATAAACTGAACTTCATGGGTACCATCTCGTATGTAATATACATCAGCATTAAATACTGAAAACATTCAGAAGAGGAAAACTCAAAGATTATACTTGCTTAAGAGTCATTCGTGTGTGCATTTAAAGTTAGTTGCTGGTGTTTTTGGAAGTAAGAAGCACGAATGTTAGTGTTAGCAAGTTCCCATTCGAACTCAAGTCGCTCCAAATTAAAAGTAACATCAAGTTAAGTTAACAAATAGTTTTTCTGAGTTACAATGCGGATTTTAGTCAAGTAACTTTCTTAGAACAGCATTCCATACAAGGACTAGCCAGAATTTTGACAAATTTGCCATAAAAAGTATAATCTACTTAAGTAAATTAATATACTTATGTGCATCTATAATTAATTTTGCTTACCTTGATGGTAAATGCGGAGGCATAGCTGTTTGGGGGACAAAAACGTACTGTTGAGTCCCAGGTTCCCCATGACCTCCCATTACCAGGGGTGATGTACCCACACTCCACAAGAACCGCACCTGTGTACGTGCGTACATGTAAGGTGGAGAGCATTTGGTCTAAAAAACATTATTCTTATTATTGAACTTATAATCCTGTAGGAAGCTTCAGTGTGAGGCAGGATGCTTGATAATGAAAGACAGAAGAAAAATTAAGATAGATGACAGAAGAGGCTGAAAAAATGCAAAGAAGACTCAGAAGAATATATGAATCGAGGCACAGGCACACACAGACACACACACACACACGTGTGCACACACACACACACACACACACACACACACACACACACATGGTGGCCCGGTGGTCTGGTGGCTAAAGCTCCCGCTTCACACACGGAGGGCCCGGGTTCAATTCCCGGCGGGTGGAAATTTCGACACGTTTCCTTACACCTATTGTCCTGTTCACCTAGCAGCAAATAGGTACCTGGGTGTTAGTCGACTGGTGTGGGTCGCATCCTGGGGGACAAGATTAAGGACCCCAATGGAAATAAGTTAGACAGTCCTCGATGACGCACTGACTTTCTTGGGTTATCCTGGGTGGCTAACCCTCCGGGGTTAAAAATCCGAACGAAATCTTATCTTATCTTATCTTATCACACACACACACACACACACACACACACACACACACACACACACACACACACACACACACACACACACACACACACACAAATTAGAGGAGCAGGCAGGAATAACGGGGAAAGTACTGCAATGGATCAGGGAATACCTGACAGGAAGGAAACAACGTGTCTTGGTACGTGCTGAAGTGTCGGAGTGGGCGAATGTGTCGAGTGGGGTTCCACAAGGGTCAGTCCTAGGCCCGATGCTGTTTCTTGTATACGTGAATGACATGGTGGAAGGAATAGATTCAGAAGTGTCACTGTTCGCTGATGATGTGAAATTGATGAGAATACAAGTGGGCGAGGATCAGTTAAGATTACAAGGGGATCTGGACAAATTACATGTATGGTCCGACAAATGGCTCCTGAAATTTAACCCCAGTAAGTGTAAGGTCATGAAGATTGGGGAAGGACAGAAGACAGCAGACGGAGTACAGGTTAGGAAACCAACAGCTGCAAACGTTAGTTAAAGAAAAGGATCTTGGGGTAAGCATTATAACGAACATGTCCCCTGAGGCACACAGCAATCAAATAACTGCTGCAGCATATGGGAGACTGGCAAACCTGAGATTGGCGTTTAGACATCTGAGTAGGAAGTCATTCACGACATTGTACACAGTGTACGTAAGGCCTATACTGGAATATGCAGCGCCAGTATGGAACCCTCACTTAGTCAAATACGTCACGAAATTGGAGAAAGTGCAAAAAATTGCAGCACGATTAGTCCCGGAACTGAGGGGTATGTCTTATGAGGAGAGGTTAACCCTGCCAAATGCAAAATCATGAAGATTGGGGAAGGGCAAAGAAGACCGCAGACACAATATAGTTTAGATGGCCAAAGACTGCAAACCTCACTCAAGGAAAAAGATCTGGGGGTGAGTATAACACCGAGCATATCTCCTGAGGCGCACATAAATCAGATAACTGCTGCAGCATACGGGCGCCTGGCAAACCTACGGATAGCGTTCCGATACCTCAATAAGGAGTCGTTCAAGACACTGTATACCATTTACGTCAGGCCCATACTGGAGTATGCAGCACCAGTTTGGAATCCACACCTAGTCAAGCACGTCAAGAAATTAGAGAAAGTGCAAAGGTTTGCAACAAGACTAGTCCCAGAGCTACGGGGATTGTCGTACGAAGAAAGGTTGAGGGAAATCGGCCTGACGACACTGGAGGCCAGGAGGGTCAGGGGAGACATGATAACGACATATAAAATACTGCGCAGAATGGACACGGTGGACAAAGACAGGATGTTCCAGAGATGTGACACAGACACAAGAGGTCACAATTGGAAGTTGAAGACTCAGATGAATCAAAGGGATGTTAGGAAGTATTTCTTCAGTCATAGAGTAGTCAAGTCGTGGAATAGTCTAGAAAGTGAAGTAGTGGAGGCGGGAACCATACATAGTTTTAAGGCGAGGTATGATAAAGCTCATGGAGCAGGGAGAGAGAGGACCTAGTAGCAATCAGTAAAGAGGCGGGGCCAGGAGCTATGACTTGACCCCTGCAACCACAAATAGGTGAGTACAAATAGGTGAGTACACACACACACACACACACATACACACACATTACAAAGACAAAAGGCAGCTGTTGTTTCTGTAACCTCGAAGCCAAAACTTTCTGAACAATGTGTATTCCTACATGAAAATCAAATGAAACAAATAAATAATGGAGTCAGTTTTGTAGGAGAATGAAAGACCATTCCTAAATTATTCTTCCAAGTACTGCATAGGACGAAGATTAGGGAAAACACTGGGTCCCTTAAACAATTACTAAATTCCAGAATTTACACATCTCGGATAAAAATATACTTAGCATCATTAACTTATACAGATATCTTGTTAATTAGGTGTTTACAGCAACCCTGTACCTAATGCACTTAGAACAAATTGAAGTTAGTTTAAGTTAACTTAGGCTGTGTTGGGATTTGAGAAATTCTGGCTACAACATCCCAAATAAACTACTAGAGTGAGAAACAAATATATAACGGTTTCCACTAAGGTGATTACAATACAGTGAACCGTTTACAGGCGGAATTTTCAGCCGTCAGAAGTTTAACTTCGTCAAGTTAGTTTAAGTTAACTTAGGCTGTGTTGGGATTTGAAAAATTCTGGCTACAACATCCCAAATAAACTACTGGAGTGAGAAACAATATATAGCAGGATACTTACCTGTGATGTAGAGAAGTGCCAGTGTGATCCTCATCCTTGCCACACCTGTAATATAGTAATACATCCTTCACTGAATGAAACACACATAAAAGACAGAAGCTTACGACGACGTTTCGGTCCGACTTGGACCATTGACAAAGTCAATGGTCCAAGTCGGACCGAAACGTCGTCGTAAGCTTCTGTCTTTTATGTGCGGGTTATTTGTGTATCGTTCCAGTCACGGTATTGTGCCTTTTTGTTATTTATTTATTCACTGAATGAAACTAATATGCCGTAGATTTTTATAATAAGGTTTTGATATATAATAACCCTTCACTGCTTGTTTATTAATGCAAGATTGTCCATTTTTTTATTATAGAGACTAAACTGTGCTGCATAACTTAAATGAGAAATTGGTCAAGATTCTTTCTCATTCTTCGTTCTCCTTCGCGACGCTGGGTCAATTCCTTGGTGGGGGGGTTTTGTGCCCCCCACGCGGGGTCATATTCCCTTGGGTTGGGGGGGTTTTGTGTCCCCCACGCTGGGTCATGTTCCCTTTGGGTGGCGGGGTTTGTGCCCCCCGACGTGGGTCATGTTACTTGGGACGGGGTTTTTGTGTCCCCCGACGCTGGGTCTTTTTCCCCTGGTGAGGGGGTTTGTGTCCCCGACGTGGGTCTGTTCCCTTGGTGGCGGGGTTTTGTGTCCCCAGCGGGGGTCTGTTCCTTTGGTGACGGGGTTTGTGTCCCCCGACGCTGGGTCATGTTACCTTGGTGACGGGGTTTGTGTCCCCCGACGCTGGGTCATGTTACCTTGGTGGCGGGGTTTGTGTCCCCAAAACGTGGGTTATTCCTTGGTGAGGGGTATGTGCCCCCCGCACGGGGTCATGTTCCCTTGGTGACGGGGTTTGGCCCCCCAACACTGGGTCATGTTCCTTGATGGGGGGTATGTGTCCCCCCCCTGGGCATGTTCCTTGGTGACGGGGTAGTGCCCCCAAAAACTGGGTTTGTTACCTTGGTAGGGGGTTTGTACTTAAAGGGGGTCATTCGGGGGAAAGTTTTTTCCCCCTTTCAGAATATGCAGTTCACATATGGGAGATGACTTTTTAAAAATCTTAAACAATTTTCCCTTCATTTTGCAGACATCACTCACAATATAAAATTTTTTAAACTTTAAAGTAAAATATTTTTGAGTAATGTTTTTAAAAAAACCCTTTTTACAATACGAAAAGGGGGCAATTGCGAACAAGATGAGCGCAAAAGGAATAACTGGAAAGGTGGGCATAGATATTTAATTTAAAACAAACCGAAAAGTAATAGTAATCAAAAATGAAACTAGAGCCTATTTGAGTTTAAAAATTTGATCCCCCAGGCACAGTACTCGCCCCATTATCGTTTTATCTCATATCCACACAGACAGGGACATAAACCATGGCATGTATCACCTTTTTCTGGCCCCCTTGAAAAATTTGTATGAGAGTGGCATGAGGCTCCATGTAAAAACGCAAGCCCCCAACTGGTATTACCAAGTTTTCAGTTGGTCTCTGGTAAAATATCATGTTGGGGAGGAAAAATCCAGTTTCTAAACTACAGAAAATTTTAGAAATAGAAGAAGCTCGGACACAAACAAACTAAACCATAAAAGGGTTTTTTATATACGAGACATGGGGGTAATAATTTTCTAAGATCTCGCATGCATTTAGCACAGAAAAACAGCAAGCTCATAAAAATTTTAGTCAAAATTACTGAAAGCCCTCGAACTCTCTCCCTAGAATGCAGGCAAAAAGATAAATCACAATTCATTGGGGGAAAAAAAGGAAAAAAAATTTACTCTAGCGGGGGGCAAAAGTAAACCATCCACGGGGGGATCTGAACCCGGGGTCAAGGTCTCAAAACTCCAGACCGTCGGTTAGCCACTGGGGACTCTCTGACCGCGGGTTCAAATCCCCCCCGTGGTATGGTTTTTTTTGAATGTGTCATTACTTTTCGTGAGTCAAGGGGGCTAAGCCCGTCTCTCTACTTTTTTTCCCACACGGTGGTGTGTGCAGAGATAAAGGGGGATCTTATGTTTTGCACGAAGCTTCTTAAGCCATACCATGTAACCATATATCTTAACATGTTTCTTTATCATGCAGTTCAAATTTTCCCCTTTATTTGGTCTAGACAGAAGAGAAAATATGAAAAAAATGATTTGCTGTGTATAGCTGACTCTCCTCCCCCTACTGAGAAGCTGCATGTAAAAATTCACGTGCTTGTCTAAGGAAGCTTCTTTTCCCCAAGACATCTTAAAAATTCATAAAAATTTTGTCTTATTTGATAACTAGCCCTTAGAGTTAAGGAATCTGAATTTTTTGATCCAGCTAAATGTCAGAGCTGGCCCCTACACCGTAGACATTATGTCAAAGAAAATCTTGTTATATTGAGGTGCTCGAGCTCCAGAGCTACATTGCTATTGTGACGAAGACAATAATTCGACCTGTGCGATGTATACCTAAGTTGCCGGGAAGGCCCCCCTGCATTGAAACGTAGAAATATTTTAAAGGGAAGTATCTGTGGGACTTCTGAAACTTAAGTCAAAGCACTGACAGTCTCCATGAAAATGTGAATAAGATACTACAAATAAATTTTCCCATCGTCGAGTGCAGGAAAATCTCCCCTTTGTGAGCAAGTAAGCCCCACAAAAACATTACCGACGATCACACAACGTATAAACAAATTCGTGGTCAAAAGTGTATTATCCGTGTCACTTATTCGAGTGTAGTTTTACAAGCTGAACATGTGGATGAGTGTAGCAAAATCAGGTAAAAACATCGTGACCAAGTAATGAAAGAATTGAAAAAACCCAATGTTATTCTTCAAACATGCCCCTGATACCGGGTTAAACGACTTGGTAACGTTGTCAAAGGCTTCCGCAAAAATATGCCAGGTAATTCTATTACCCTCAACTCGCCTAGAGACACGCAGTGGGTAGGGTTAGGGTTTAAGGGGGGTAAGTTACTAAAGAAGCCGTCATGGGGGGGCTTAGCCCAAAAAATAGGTATGAACTAGTCTCATAATGTAACCCTTTACATACTGTAATAATATGTTAGGAGGTCGTTTTTAATCATACTAAACTTGCTTTTAAGCCCGTGAGAACTAAAACAGTCGACATCAAAAAAGACCCACAACCATGGTGCTGGGTTCTAAGCTGTCAAAAGAAAGTGAGTACCCCCGAAAAACAATGGTTTTTAATATTTTTAATTATTCTATACTAAAACCCAAAAACCTTCACAGGGTATTCCGAAAGGGGTTGGCCCCCAAACCCGTACATTTTAAACCCTTCCATTAAAAGAAGAGGGTTTTCAGACGGTGTAAATATATCCAAGAAAACCGAGGCACGATTTGTACACTGTGAGACAATTCAATGGTGTGAAGGGACCAAGACTTTTCAATATTTTCCCCTCATGCATTAAGGGAATTACCAACAGTTCCTTAGCTGCCTTCAAGAGGGAACTTGATTGATAAGTTCCACAATTCAGTACCTGATCAGCCGGACTGTGGTGCATGCGTTGGCCTGCTAGCGGCAGACACCAAGAGCCTGGTCAATCAGATCAGCAACCAGGAGTTCAGGTCTGAGAGTGGGCTGCGGGGATGGAGACCCCTGGAAGCAACTACAGGTAACATGCAGGAATGACAGCAATAGTAAATTGTGATGAGAAGTAATAATAATGGCCAGAGACATAAAATAATTTTAGCGACTGTTTGTTTAAGTTATAAGAACAGAATAGACTATACAAGCAATATGTCTTCGTGTGCGAATATAAACAAACAATATAGAGAAAAAACTTTGATAGGAGATTTAGCTCAGGGAAGAACTTTAGCAAGTCAAGACTTGGTGAAGCTCAATCCTGAGAAAAACTTGGTCCCACTGAGAGCTTCTTCCGAATATTGTTTTCATACTCAAAGCACTGAATGCCTGAGTGGTTCTAATGGTTGGTATATCCTACGACTCTATTCTCTTAAGCTCCTAACTTCTCGAATATCAAGATTGTACAATCTACCACTTTCTATGTCAGTCTTATATCTGGCTGTGAGAGTAGTGTTTGTCTTGCTCTTGGCGGACGGAATATCGAGCCTAAAATAATAATAATCATCTTTATTTACTAAAAGTACATGTACAAGGTATACAGTCCTAGTTGACATCAATGACATGCTACTATATACTATTGTTATGCAGAGCATTTCGGGCAAATTAAGTCAGTTTTGTTCCAGGGTGCGACCCACACCAGTCGACTAACACCTAGGTACACATTATTACTGATTGGTGAAATAGACGACCGGTGTCAGAAAACACACCCAATGTTTATACCCTCGCCGGGAATCGAACCCGGATACTCACCGTGTGAAGCGAGAGCTTTTGCACCCTGGCCACTGGATAACATGGACAACATGTCCTTGAGGAAACACGTCCTAATGTTTCCAGCTGTACCAGGGAAGAGAAGCGTGTTCCTAACTGTTTGTCATGCAGTAAGGCCGTCTCGTCAGTTTCTGTAACATTGTTTCGTATGCGAATCACAGCACATACTCTAAATGACAGTTCACTTCAATACAGTGCCTGCACTGGTAAAGATGGCGCTCACACTCACCTCTGCACTTGACGATGTCAGCGCATTGCTCATGACGTACTGTACTTCACGGAACAGTGATGACAACTAGACGTGTTTCGGTGAGAGAGGAATCTCTCATATCCCATTGATTTACCTCTTGTTCCAGGTACCTCAATAAACACAAAATCTTGGCTTGTCAGTTAGCAGATTGAGAACAATAGTACGAAAAGAACTTCAACTGAATTTTATTGACCCAAGACTCAGAGAGACTGACACAAGTCAGTCCATCTATCATCATTCCATCATGCAGGAGGAGACACATGTCTATGGTGCATCCAACAAAATAAGCAGACTCTTGGATGTCACTACCGCCCGGCTCTGACTGGGTTACAAGGATCTTTGGCAGGTTAAATCACCACCACCAGATGTAGACCAAATGAAATGTAAACTTTGCCAGATGGACTATTGTCACACCTTGCGTCATTATGTACTGGAGTGCGATAAAATTAATGAATTAGAGACAACTCACTCAGAAATATTCAAGATATGTCAAAATATTTTATCCACAGTGTTATATTATAGACCATTCTGGAAAAATACCCTGACTTTGCTCTCTGTAAATAAAGCATTACCACGTGTGTGTGTGTGTGTGTGTGTGTGTGTGTGTGTGTGTGTGTGTGTGTGTGTGTGTGTGTGTGTGTGTGTGTGTGTGTGTGTGTGTGTGTATGACCCAACAATTAATATTTGCACAAATAACTCATCACAGTTGTGACCGGATGTGGACGTGTGAATTGCTCATTACTTTATAATTTGTTCATGATTGTAACCATGTATAAACATAAGTAAATTTACTTACATGGTTCATTACCTTTATAACTTGCTCAGCTATCAAAACTTTGGAGTCCAGTCCCTGGACCCATTATGTACCTCGGTAATCTTTTGACTACCTCCCACAGGATGGGTATGGGGTGCATAATAAACATATTAACTTGGATACTCTTATCAATATCTTCAACAAGTTCCCTACACGGCCATAACCAATCCTAACATTCCACAATGTTAGAAAGTTTAATGTCATTCAGTGTAGTTAAAGCATGGAAATCAATATCCAATTTATTTAATAAATATAATATTAGATACAGCTCACATAGCCCATCAACAATACAAAAAATCAAAATACACCAAACCTGAATTTCAGTTTGAAGCAGCCCATAAATTACATTCTTAGGTTATCACATGGGATAAAATATTTAGCTTTTTTTTTTTAAATAAAACTGGCAAAATGCAAAGGCAGTTTCACATAGCTCATAACACCGTGAAACTTTAAAGTTTGAATTCAATAAGAAGAGGCATGATTAAGTTTTCTTCACGGAAACCACTGCACTATTTGCCTATATAAAATTGAGAAATTGACACCTATAGATACCAATAAGAATCCTAATCTTCCTCTAAACTACAATGATCCAGCAAGTTTAAAACCAATCAGCAGAGACGTTATCAAGTTATCACACAAAAACCTTTGAGAAGGAAGAAATAAAAAGCTGTACCAGAGTTTATGACCGGCTCTCCAGTAAAGCAGTACGACACTGGATGTATCTAGGTAACAGGTACACATAAGTACAATTATCATACATAGTGTATATTACCGAGGATATCTTTGAAAGATATCCCTTATATCCCATAACGCCAACCTAAGAAACATAATAGTTGTACCTGAAAACCCTACAGAAGCAGAGGAGTTGTGGCAAACTATTTTAATTATTATTATAATCTTGGGGGAACGCTAAACCCGTAGGATTATACAGCGCGTGGGATGGAGGGAATGGAAGGTATTCAGGCTCAATTCAGGGAATCGGAGCACAGATCCATTTCCCTAGATCAAGAGCCCCTCACTAGCGCCAAGGAACCTCCCTTGAGGGGAAACTATTTTAAGAGGCACAGACCTCTCAAGAGGTTAGGGAGCTGGAAATCAGCACTTCATTCTATTTGCATGAGAAATTATTCTTTTCCCAAGCATGTATAACTTGGATGTATGTTGAAAAATAAAATGATAGTTCTGACCAGTTGTTAAACTCAATATTGACCAACACAATACCATGGGTGTAATAATTTTCATTTCACTTAGAATTTACAGGAAACTCCAAACGACGTTTCGATCCCTCCTCGGCCATTATCAAGTCACAACCTACTAATGGCTCAGAACGGACCAAAATGTCGTCTAGAGTTTCCTCTTAAAACTGTGAATTAGTTGGATCGAATTTTTGGATCAGGTGTGGACCAGTGTTGACATTAGCAGGATAGACTGTTTTGACATGACTTAAATTAGGCCTTACCAACGATAAATATACTACATATAGTTATAATATAGCAGTGCTGTGATTGACGAAATTCAGTGTTTGTGTCTATTACTCCAATTTCTGCATTTACAAGCTTCTTAAAAAATCCATTTAAATATGTCAGGGTTTAGACTTACCGTTCAGTAGACCAGAGCAGAGAACCAAGAGATGACAACGACTGGTCGACACAAGTGTACTTGTGCTCTTAGCACCATGCATATATATCACGAGGAGGCTGTCGCAACCACAGCCTCCTCCCACACTAAGATAAACCGGAGTTGCGTATTCACACATATGTTCATTATAACCAGTATTTAGTAAACGCTTCATACCTCTCTGAAACACTGAAATATTTAATTATAAAACTAGGTTCCCATGTGGTTTTCTAAGTAGGCTGTGTGACGGAAGTATGCGACGTATATGTGACAGTGTAGAAGAAGAATAACTGCTACAACTTTATAAAGTGGTTGTTGTTGGTATTGGCTGCTGAACGGAAGAGGTGTTGTGTTACGATAAACAGCAACGCGAAACGTATTGTTGCAATATCCAGTATTTCCTGTTGCAAAATTGGTTGGACGGTTAATTGGGTTTCAAGCCTGTCGACTACGCGATGGTCATTAAGGCTGAATATAACCTGTCAAGGATACATTAAGCCCTAAGAGAGAGACTTACAGCTCTCGGTCCACGTATCATGTCATTGCGAAGTTCGAACAGTTTTCCTTGTAACAAACAGGAATTTTTAAAATGTAATTCAGTTGTGAGAAATAATGTGGATGAATTTTTACAAGTACAATCTTGAATTAACCTTTCACACATATACCTGGCACATCTTGGTTTAATATGTATATTATGCACCCCATACCCATCCTGTGGGAGGTAGTCAAAAGATTACAGAGGTACATAATGGGTCCAGGGACTTGACCCCAAAGTTTTGATAGCTGAACTAGTTACAAAGGTAATGAATTCACAAGTTACAAAGGCAGTGAATCATGTAAGTAAATTTACTTACTGACGTTTACATGGCTACAATCATGAACAAATTATAGAGTAATGAGCAAAAAACACATTATACTCACTGATACTGATGTACCTCGGAGTTAAGAACAGGTCACTAATATTGTCCCTCCTTCAGTGTCCACCGTCTCACCTCCCCAACTCGCATATCGGAACCTAAAATTAGGAACACATGGTTCCTGAATAATTACTAGAAAATATTGAAGCCAGTAAACTGGCAGTGTGTGAACTGTATGAAAATTAAGTGACTGTGTGACTTAACTCAAGTAATTTTTTGTGCATTAGCTATTATACATTACAGTGGTTCAGTTACATTGTGAAGAATATATGAATTACTTACCAAGGTATTATCTAGGTGATATATCCTAACTCCTTCTAACAGGAAGGCATACTAAATATTGGCCAATACTAGCTACCATACCTATTTTGTGGTAGCTATAATTTCGTGCGAAAAGAACTAAGCAAGTCAAACCCAACGAAAAGCACCGGTACAGATAACATCCCGTCTAAGTTCCTAGAAGATGGTGCCTCTGAATTGCCAGTCCCCATTACACACACAATAAATTTATTCATCACCACCAATACTGTTCTGGAGGAGTTCAAGGAGGCCAGAGTTACTCCTATCTTCAAGAAAAACAGTAGGTCTGACGTCAGCAACTATAGGGAGCTGGACAGATACTTAATTAAAGTCGGTGTCGGATCAGCCGGGCTGTGGTCCGTACGTTGGACTACGTGCGGCCAGCAGTAACAGCCTGGTTGATCAGACCCTCATCCATCGGGAAGCCTGGTTGTGGACCGGGCAGAGGAGGCGTTGATCCCCGGAATACCCTCCAGGTAAACTCTAGGTAGGTAGTATATTCAGTGTGATGTCCGAAATTCTTGAGAAGTCGGTGTTTACCTGGAGTTTACCTGGAGAGAGTTCCGGGGGTCAACGCCCCCGCGGCCCGGTCTGTGACCAGGCCTCCTGGTGGATCAGAGCCTGATCAACCAGGCTGTTACTGCTGGCTGCACGCAAACCAACGTACGAGCCACAGCCCGGCTGATCAGGAACCGACTTTAGGTGCTTGTCCAGTGCCAGCTTGAAGACTGCCAGGGGTCTGTTGGTAATCCCCCTTATGTGTGCTGGGAGGCAGTTGAACAGTCTCGGGCCCCTGACACTTATTGTATGGTGTCTTAACGTGCTAGTGACACCCCTGCTTTTCATTGGGGGGATGTTGCATCGTCTGCCAAGTCTTTTGCTTTCGTAGTGAGTGATTTTCGTGTGCAAGTTTGGTACTAGTCCCTCTAGGATTTTCCAGGTGTATATAATCATGTATCTCTCCCGCCTGTGTTCCAGGGAATACAGGTTCAGGAACCTCAAGCGCTCCCAGTAATTGAGGTGTTTTATCTCCGTTATGCGCGCCGTGAAGGTTCTCTGTACATTTTCTAGGTCAGCAATTTCACCTGCCTTGAAAGGTGCTGTTAGTGTGCAGCAATATTCCAGCCTAGATAGAACAAGTGACCTGAAGAGTGTCCTCATGGGCTTGGCCTCCCTAGTTTTGAAGGTTACTGTCAAGTAGATAAGTATCTTCATAGTAAAAAACATTCTCCATATTACCAATCAGGTTTCAGATCTTACTCGACCGACACCTCCCTAAGGCCTTCGATACAGTCTACCATAATATATTTTGTAAGAAACTACAAACTATCGGCATAGGTTCTGTGGAATTTTTTTATAATTTTCCTAAATGTAGAACATATAACGGTCTGGAGTTTTGAGACTCTCTGACCGCGAGTTCAAACCCCGCCCGTGGTATGGTTTGTAAAACATATGAATGTAAATAGATGATAATGTGTAAATTTGTGATACTATTTGGACCCTTCTAGAAGCTTGAGGTGTTAAGTAAAAGGACACAAGTGCAACTAATGTGACATTTTATCGTGACAACGTTTTGCTCTCCAGGAGCTTTGTTAAGCCGTAGCAGCTTGACAAAGTTCCTGGAGAGCGAAACGTTACCACAACAAAATGTCACATTAGTTGCACTTGTGTCATTTTACTTAACATATTGTCGGTAATTCTACCAATATTAATACAAGCTTGAAGCGAAGGGGGGTGTGGAACAGCCACGGAGCAATACAGGGAAGGAGAACGCCATAGTGAATTCATGTGTGAACACTGGTTGTGGAGAAATCGTCTAGTAATTCGGCGTCATCGAAGCCATAATTGAATGGATCGGCCTCAAACTGTAATTAATAAGTACTGGAATGTCTCCTGTTGAAGAATAGGAACAAAGAATTTGCGGGGCCTCCAGAATTAGGTGGCAATAGTGGAAATAATGAGGCATTGCTATGCAGCTCATCCAGTATGTACACCATTAGTCCTTTCATTTAGATTTCTTGCGGGCCAGCAGAATTCTGTTAGGTAGGCGTTGTGGTGTGATCCAGCTACAATATAAATGGTAAGTGGCAATATAAATTTCTTAATTACCTAACTTTTGGTAGATATGTGCATGGTGTCAATTAGAAAATTCTTACCATGTCTGTGTGTATTAGTGTTCCCATTAATCCTTTCATTTTCATACAGTCAACACTATTTTATAATTACCATTATTGGTATTAATGTTTAATATTATAATTATTAATTTAATGTCAAGTCAAGCTTTTTTATGAGAGTGGTGAAGGAGTGGACATCGAAGGAGTGACAGTCCTTTGACCTACTGCTACTAAGTCCCACTTATCTCATCCAAATTACTTACATGTAATAATTCAGGTAATACCCTGTAAACCTCTTGCAGGCAATTTCTCACAGGTTCTGTAGACTGGTTTAAGTCTTACCTGAGCAGCAAGAAACAAATTGTCAAGATAACATGTCCATCAGTGTCAAGATTTAGATTTAGATTTTGTCACCGAAGTGGCTAGTTTATTGTGCACTCCATATCCATCCTGTGGACGGTAGCGCAAGAGTATATGGACACACAAAAGGCCTAT